CGTGGGCCGGCGCCCTGGCGAGGATCGGCCCGGCTCGGAGCCACAGCGGGCTGCCGCCTGTCTCAGGACCCCGGCCGGGTGGGGGCCAGTGGCGATGCCGGTTCGCGAGGCCAGGAGACCCACCTCACGGAGGGGGCCGCACGGTCGCCGGTTACATCCACCCGGAGAGCGCATGGGTGGCCTTCCCTGCCCTGGTCCCTCGGAAGGCGAAGGGGCCGGTCCGGCATGCAAGTCCAGCCGGGGGCCTGGCCGCTCGCCTGCGGGCCCCCGGCACCGGGGCATCTCCGGGCTCCGGGTGTCTGACCGGATGCCCTGCCAGAGGCGGTCGGGATGACAGCTGCGCGCGCGCACGCGCGTGCGCGCCCCGGGGGCAGAGCTCCGGGCACCCATCGCCGGCCAGGGGACGCCTCCGGCGACCTGGCAGGCGCCCGTGTCCGAGGGTTGGTCCTCTGTCGGGGCGGGGCGCATTGGCACGGGTCCGCGGGTGGAGGCTGGTCCGTTGTGTCCCGGGCCAGGACGCATGTCCCCCCCTCCCCCCCGGGGGGGGGGGGATGGTCGGGAGAGCCGCGCCGGGCGCTGAGTTCCCCCGGGCCCGGGTGTGCCATAGTGCGCGCGCGCCTCGGGCCGGCCCATCGGCGGACCCCGGCGAGTGCCGGTCCTGTGGGCAAAGGAGGCGCGGGCTGCCTGCCGGGCCGGGGCACATGCCAATGCTTGCGAGGTGGCCTGCCTTTTGCGCCTGCAGCCCGAGACGGACCACTCTGTCCATGCCAGCCCGTTGGTGTGTCGCCGGCCGCGGAGTGGCGGCGTTCGATGGCGGAGCCATGGGGCTAGGCAACACCATGACGCGTGGGCGGCACAAGGGTGCTCCGCCGGGATGATGAGCCCCCCCCCCCCCCCCCCTGCCCCAGGGGCTAGATTGACCGCCCACCGCCCTCAGGGGCAGGGGAGAGATGCGCGCGAGCATGCACCCGGTCTCCGGCGCCATGGTTCCCGCGTCCTCCTCGGGCCTTTGGCGGATGCGGCCGGCGGCGCTTCGCGCGTCGGCATGGCCGATGCATGCTTGGGCCGGGTGTCGACGCGAGGAAAAAAAAGGAAAGAAAAAAAGGCACCCATGATCCGATTCTCCTGTGGGAGATGCGCCAGGGCAGGCAAGCAACAAGCGGCCGAGGGGGCTCCGCGGCCGACCAGCCAGCCAGCCAGCCAGCCAGCCAGCCAGCCAGCCAGCCAGCCCCATGGCTGGTGTCTGACGTCGGGGAGGGTCGCCCGTGTCGGGCCCTGGCTACCGCCCGCCTCGCGAGGTGCTGGTCCCCGGGGCCGACGTCGGTTGCCGCCCGGTGCCGGATGGCTCCCCGGCCCCGACCCTCGGTCTGTCTCGCCCCCCTGCGCGCCCTCTTGGCCCTCGGTCTGGCGTTTCACCGCCCCGGGTGTCGGCTCTGTGCCCCGTATATTGCGGAATAAAAAAAGGGCCAGAGGCCGTGCTCGTGTGGCAGCTGGTGCATTCCCCAGGGAGGCAGTGTGTTGCTAATGCCGCCGACGAGAGGCCGCTCATGTGGCAGGGGGGGGGGGGACAGCGGGCCGGGTTTCATTCGGCCGGCGGCCTCCGGCCCGGCGAGCCCGAGCGCACGCCTCGCCAGGAGTGCCGGAAGAGAGGGCAGCCCCCCCCCCGAACCCCTCGCCGCCCTGCGCAAAGGCCAGCCCGGCGCGCCACCTCAATCGCTCGGGCCTGAGGTGGCAGCACCGCCATCGGAGCCGGAGAGGGACTCGTCGACCGGGGGCACGGGGTCCGCGACGCAGGTCCGCCCATCCGAGCTGAGCGCATGCCCGGGCAGGCAGGCCACACAGCGCAGCGCCCGCAGGCCCGGCTCGTGGGGATGCTCCACCAGGCAGCTGGCGCAATGCTCCGGACAGGGGACCACATAGCGGGCCTTTTGGTTTTGGAAGAGGAGCCCCCAGCCGGGCTGGGCCAGGCTGTCGGGCGCGCACCGGCCCGGGGCCGACACATCGGCGTCCGGGGCTTGCAGGTGCTTGAGCAGGGGCGCCCCGCCGGCCGGGTCGGCCGTGCACTGGTGGCAGCCCTCTTGCAGGCCATTGGCACAGGTGGCGCAGGAGCCATCGCAGGGCGCGCACTGGTGGCCGTCGGCCCGGAAGCCCTGCGGACAGGCGAGCAGGCACCGGGACCCGGCGAAGAGCAGGTGCCCCGGCCGGCACTCGAGGCACTGGTGGGCCCCGGTGCAGGAGGCGCATTGGGGGTCGGTGCAGGGGGCACATTGGCGATCGGTCGAGGGCCGGTACGTGCCCGGGGGACAGGCATCGGCGCAGTACCGGCGTTCCTGCTGGTTGCGGCCCTGGACCAGGAACTTGCCCGGGGGGCAGGTCTTGCAGTTGTCGGCGAAGTTGTCGCACGTGGCGCAGTTGGAGCTGCACTGGCTGCAGCCGCGGATGTTGGATGGCAGCGACTCGTCGTAGAACCACTCGCCGCCGCAGTAGGACACGCACTCGAAGCCATACGGGTCGTAGCCCTCATTGCAGATGTCGCAGTAGAGCGGGTTGAAGCAGCGGAAGCAATTGGCCGGGCACTTGCGACACACATGGTCCCCGTGCACGAAGAAGGCCGGGCACCTGGTGTGGCAGAGGTTGTGGTGGAGGGATTGGCCGGGGTCGGCGCAGCGCATGCACACCTCCGGGCTCTCGGACGCGCACTTGCCGCACCCGGGCAGGCACTGGATGCACCGGCCGGTGAGCGAGTCCTTGGCCGTGCCCTCCGGGCAGGTGGCCGAGCAGGTGCCATCCGGCCGGGCGAAGAACCCCCGCAGGCAGGACAGGCAGTGCCCCGGGTTGGCCGGGTCGCAGATGCGGCAGTGCTGCCGGCAGGCCACGCACACGTCCTGCCCGGTGTTGGCCGTGGTGGCCGGGCAGCCGGCCGGCCCGGCCGGGTCGCCGCTGGCATGGTACCCCCGGATGCAGGCCCCCACATGGACCCGGGCCTGGGGGAAGTCCTTGGCGCCATGGGCCAGGAGGAAGCGCCCGGCCGGGCAGGCGGTGCAGTCCTTCGGCCCGGGCCCGGCGCACTCGTCGCACGTGTCGTGGCACTGGAAGCACACGCCCGGGGCGCTGCACCGGAGCAGGTGCCGGTGCTCCGGCCGGCCGGCCGGCTCATCGTCCGACGGGGCCATGGTGGCCATGGGCCAGGCGGCGCACTCGAAGCCGCCCGGCACCCGGTGCCGCGGGATGCAGTGGGCCCCGCAGGCGAGGTGGCTGGCCGCCGGGCAGGTGTCGACACACCGGCGGTCCAGGTCCAGCCAGTGCCCGGGCGCGCACGCCGCGCAGTCCTCATTGATGTGGGGGTGGGCCAGGGCCGTGCATTGGGCATGGGCCAGGGGCTCCGGCCGGCAGAGGCCGTCGCCGGCCGCCTGGAACCGGCACACGGCGCACCGCCGGTAATTGCCGGGCACCACGTTCCAGCAGTCGGCCGGGCCGATTTGCACGAGCCCGGCCCCGGATACCGCCAGGTCCGGCAGCTCCTCCGCCAGGAAGCCAAACCCATCGACCGTGTGGTACTCCGGCTTGTACTGGGTGCAGATGAGGTCGGCCTGGGTGTAGATGGACCGCTGGCAGCGCCGCAGGGCCGGGTAACAGCCCCCGGAGTAGGCGGTCTCGCCTGCGGGCGCGGCGCCAGCCCGGTGCCACAGGGGGGGGGGGGCGGGTGTCAGTCGGCGCGGCCGGCCGCCGGCGGGGCCGGGGCACGGGAAAAGGCATGGTCCCTTGCCCGCGGGGGCTTCGTGGGCCCTGGCGCACCTGGGCCATTGCAATAGTCGCTGGTCGGCAGGGCCGGCTGCTGGCCGGCGGCCAGGGCCATGAGGCTGGCCAGGAGCATGACCATCAGTCCGAGCAGGGGGGTCTGCCGAGGGGCGGCGGCACCCCCGCCGGGCATGGCCGCGGCAGGCATGAGACGCAGGCGCGAGGGCCGGGCCCCGGGTGGCTGGCGTGCAGACGGCACGGGCCCGCGACGCGGCGGCGGCAAGGGCCAGATGGGTGGGCGCGTGCGTGCGTGCGCACTTCGTGTGATGCTGGCCGGGCGTGTGCGCCTGTGTGCGCGATTGTGCGTGTGCGCGATTGTGCGTGTGGGTAGGGCCCTGTGTAAGTGTGTACCGGTCGATGTCTGTCTCTGTGTGTGGGTGCGCGATTGTGCGTGTGGGTGTTGGCTGGCGGTCCAGCAGGGAGGTTGGGCGGTGGAGCTGGCTCGGAGCGCGGTGGCGATCGGAGCCGGCTGCCCCGTGTGCCGAGGTGCATCTTTATAACTGGCCCTCGCCGAGGCGGGGCGGCCCATGCAGGCTCCCGCCGAAGAGCCGAGGATAGATCCCTAGCTGGGGCAGTGCGCCCGCCCGGGAGCGCCGCCCCTCGATCCGGGCACATGGGCCCCCTCGCACAGGCGTGCACACACCTGGCCGCATGCACAGGGGGCAGTCCCAGCTGGGAGGCGTGTGGGCAGGGTGTTGGCCCGGCCGGGTGCGCGTCCAAGCAGGGGCACCTGACGCGCGGCGTCCTGCGCCCGGGCTTCCGGGCCGGCCTCGGGACGCGGGTCGGCGCACTGTCACCCCCTGTGTGGCTGCGCGCTCGCGCGCCCGGCCCACGGGACGGCGTCGGCCACACCGACCCGATGGAGGCCACACGGACGCCGGCGGTGGCGGGACAGGGGCGGGGAGGGACAAAGGGAGGGGCCTCGTCGTGATGGACGCCCCACACCTGGGGCCGATGCCGGCTGGCAGCACCGCCGCCCTGCAGCCGGTTGCTCCCGTGTGGCGAGCCACAGTCGGGAGGGGGCGGGGGCGCGGTCGTTGCGGCAGCCGCAGGGGCAACCCCCTCCCCTCGCGCCCAAACAATGCATGCGGCGGCCTCTCACACAGGAGCTGCGCCA